ATAGTCTTGGGGACTTTTCCCCAGGGCGCTGTGTCTTATAGAGTGCTCCAAAAGACCGACTAAGACGAGAGCTGAAACGTATTTCGTTGTGTGTGCCTTATTTGACTGTAAAGTTAAAGTGACTTTCCCGATCCCGTACCTCAAGGGGACGAGATATAGAGACGAGACGAGTTTCCCCCCTGACAAGTGTGGAGAAACCCGAGAAAGAAGATTTACCCCCTGATAGTTCGAAAGAATATTTGTAAATACTTGTTACATACTTCTAAAATGACCAAACCTGAGCAAATTTGTCGAAGGCAGGATAAGGTCTGCAAGCGTCCACTAAATCACAGTTAAATCGAACATTTATCATAATAAATCCTAAAAAACATTATTCGCCAAAGTTTCTCCTGAATGTACAGTGTAGTTGTTTATTAAACGCATGCAGTATGAAAAATAGCTCACGTAAATGTACAAACGCTTACGTTTTCTGCATTCAGACTCTTTGGCTTTCAGGCTCCGTATGAGCGATGTTAACCGGAGTAGGCGCCCATTGTATCAGCCAATCACATTTGCTGTAACAGACGATTTAACGCAAATGAAGGGGATTCTAGCGATTGACATAGAGAAACACATAGCGGCTATGGGATTTTGAAAATAATGAAATGCAGACATATAATTGGAGGTTTAAACAATAGCATCACCGTGGATCACGCTTGAAGGCGAATAGCAAGCAGGGATATAAAACAGGTCAGAAAAGGGCCCGCCCCCCCCCACTCCCTATATTTAGGGGGGCCTATGCTTGTTCTTGTGTTTTGAAATACACCCCCTATTTTGAGAATCGCGGGAAAACAAGCAAAAAATACCCCCTTTTCTACGATTTTCTCGGGATAATGTTCCCGAGACAGATCGTCAAAAAGTACCCCCTTTCCCGAGAAAATGGGAACGCGCATGCGGCCCCCTATGGATCCTGAGTGGGGGGGGGGGGAAAGGGGCGTGCCTGGCTTCGGCTTAAACCTTGTAGAATGGCAGAACACTGTAATATTGATGAAAATATATTAACAAATTTTATGTGAAATACCGTTTCTCTTTCAGGGTGGTTGAAAGTAAGAATCCGAATTATAATGTAGGCGACTTGCTAGTGTGTAATACCGGCTGGACGACGTATAGCGTACCAGATAAGAGACATACCGGTTTTGTGACAGAGGTTATACATATCTTCATTTTTGACGGATATTCTAACTATCCAAGAACAATAATCGTAGTGGTGCTTTATTGGTATTCGACGTGTGCTATTTTGTATATCAAAATTTAAATCGATATAGCGTATTAAAATCAAACTTGTCATACTGATTATGGTTTTACAATTTAATTTAAATTACAGCTGGATGGCACATTCCGTAAGATTGACTTTCCTCCAGACATTCCTATAAGCTATGCAATAGGACTACTCGGCATGCCAGGGTAGGTTTTTGTTCCATGTCCGATTTCATGGTGTTTAACGTCAGCCATTTCCTTGCCTACCATATAGTGTATTGTATTTGATTATTATTTCTACAAACGAGACAACCGTTTGTATTACGTACACTGATGACCATATCACGTGATACATAAACCCGCAAGTCGACTGTTATGTAAGATTAGCAATTGTCAAAAGTGTGTTTTTTCGAATAATGTTTTTTTCCCGATACAAACGAGCATATTAGTTTAAGAGGACTGATATCCACAGACCGAACACATTCTAACTCGTACATGAAATAACACTTGCGTGTACAAATTATGCATGAAAACGTACTATTGTCTCGAATCCCAGAGGCGCTTAGTAATATTGTTACAACTGTTATTGAAGGTTGAGTGCCTATTTTGGTTTATTGGATTGTTGTCAGCCCAAGGAAGGTGAAACAGTTTACGTGAATGCTGCCGCTGGCGCAGTGGGAATCACCGTTGGACAAATAGCCAAGATTAAGGTAATTCAAAATGTGTAATCTGATAATGAGAATTGTTATACATCTGTCAACGTAACGCCATAAGTTAAAGCGTGCCGTAAGTTTGCGGTATTTTATGGAATGATTGCGCGCAGAAGCGTCCTCTTATAATAAAAACAACCATGGCTGCCACCCGGGTCTGACCAGACTTCACACAAAGAAGTTTGCTGATCCTGTTCTAAACTTTTTGGATCTCGGCATTCCCATGATGTATCATTGGGAGGAAAAGATGTATAATAATAAGGTTAGTATGAAGATACCACAAAGTATGCACTAAGACAGTACGCCGTTGCTGCGCGTCGGTCGATACTCCCGCTGTACTGTCTTCGTGTCTTTTCGGCATCCTCGTAATACTCATAATATGGTAACCCGTATGTGTTAAATATTCTTGAAAATAGTTTGGTTGTTGTGTGTTTTGGCAACAGAATCCTAGCACAGAGCAATATTGGGATTTACATTTTTAAATAGTGGTTTCAATTATAAGATTTATTTATTGAAACTGAATAAAATATGGCAATTTTGAATTTATTGAACGATTTCCAACACACAGAGTGACATCTTAAATTGCAAACAATTGATTATGTTGATAGGGATGTAAAGTTGTTGGAAGTGCTGGGTCTGATGAGAAAGTGGCCTTTCTTAAAGAAGTTGGATTTGACGAAGCTTTCAACTACAAGACAGAGCAACTCGACGAGGCTTTAACAAGAACGGCGCCTAATGGAATAGACTGTTTCTTTGATAATGTGAGTATTCATAGGCACCTCAGTAAATTAATGTTATTGTGTTGCAATCGATTGCTGTTTTGGGCATATATTAAGTAGACGTATATAACTGGTAGCATAGTGGTTGTCGCATCAGACTCATGATCGGTATTTAAAATCCTACCTTAGGCTGAACATCAAAAGGGTCGACTCCTACTTTGGGTGAGTGTGCCACAGACTCAATGGGAAGGCCAATTGAGATTGGCCGCGATTCATTCACTAACGAATGCGACTTTGGGGGAACCTTGGTTAAGGCCCGCAGGTGCATGTGTATGACCTAGCCCGGTTGACGCCAGAATAGCACATTAAATTGCCATTCGATAGGTAGATGGCCGCACAGCCCTGTCATGTAGTCCCAAACATGGAATGACTTCTGTGGAAAAATACACTATGTGTCAGCACTCAAAGTCCGGAACTGTCGCCTAGCACAAAAACGTTTTTTTAATAAAAAAAAAAAAAGTAGACGTATTGTATTCAACTAGACGTTCACAGGCATAGAAACATGAAAAACCCTGTCTGCAATGACTTTTAGCAAAAAAAATAAAAATGTTTTTTCGGTCGTTGTTGCAGATTGCATGATACTCTGACATAAGTACCGGCCAAGTGTACACTGGAAATATTGACAGGGGCTTGGCTGTCTTTTCATATTTATCTTGTTTTAGTATAATAGCGACGTATTGGGAATTTTGTTTACGAGTAATATAACATTGTAAGCTGATCGGACTGTATCGTTTCAGCGAAGTTCTCAGCTTTGCCACTTCGTACGAAATTATACGTCTGAGTTCCGAATGTATTTCGGAGGGAAATTATAAATTTAGTTCTCAGTTATCCGAGCCAACATCCGATCACTTGAACACCTGACCATTCTCATTGCAATACATAATTTAGGAGTTTAACATCAAAGCTTCTCAACTCAAAATTGATGGACTTTGAAGTAACTCGCCATGCTGGCATTGGAAAAAAAACGTCTCGAGCGGCTGATTTTGGTATGACTAATGGTCTCTGCAGTAATTTATATGTGCTGCTTCATTGATATTTCCATCTCGAAATTCTAGACCCGTGTTGATAAGTAATAATATAGGGACTTAAATGCAATAACGACAGCTTCACGTGAAGATCTGTTTGTAATAAAATGAAAACAAATCATTATTCAGTTATTATATCCTTTCTTTCACAGGTTGGTGGATTAAGCTCAGCTGTTACTTATGGCCATTTAAACGAAAGAGCACGTGTTGTTGTCTTTGGAGTGATTTCGCAATACAATAAATCGGAACAGGACAAAGGTGTAGTAATAATAATTATAGTAGTACCAATAAGCCATTCTCCAAATATCAGTAGTCTAGAAAAAATATACTGACAAAATTGATGGAAGCGGAACATCACAAACCCCACAAGGGAGTCAGACCAGGTGCACGTGAAGAGTAAGCTTCTGCTGCTGGCATGCCACAGCCGTCGTAATGATGTTCCAAAGTCATGTCAGGGAAAAATGTCAAATCAAGTTTACTGGTCAAACAACCACACCTAGTCACAAGGACAAACACGACCACATATATCAATCAAAAAACAAATCTGCAATCATATTACAGACAGAAATCCCATAGGAAGCAACCAAATCATGATCACCAAATCATCATGATAATCATTATTTGGTGATATGATCCAATTCGTTAGTAGGAGGGACAGTAAATGGGGGACATCAATGTTTAAAATATTTAACAGCCTCCAATTATCTTGTGGTTTCTTCTCACGAATGATAATATCACAATTACTTCATATGAGGTATACGGAGAAGGGTCTATCTGGTCATGCAGTATGTTTCAATAAACTATTTACTAAAACAGATGTTACTCAGCCCATATCCCACAATGCAATGTGGCAATGATGACGTCAATGTAGATGTGTCCACTCACCCAAAATCCTTCATTCTTCCGTGTTCTCTCTTTTTGATTTTGTTTATCTTGGTCCTGCCCTGGTTAACATATTTTAATTGTATATGTTCCCTGACAGTTCCTGGCGCTGAAATCACTATATTGATGAAACGTCTAAGCATCAAAGGTTTTTTGTTTTTTGATATGGTTGACAAACCAGATGTGTTGCATAAAGCTTTGATTGAAATGATCGGATGGATTAAAGAGGTAGGATTGTATCATATTGTCCGATAATATTAACTGTCAATAACAAGAAGTCAGGTATAAATGCTGCAAAAACAGGTGGTATGGAAGATGACACCATTTCACTGTGATTTCTAATACACGTGGTTCAGTGTATGGTCAATCAAACTAACTTGCATGTTCGGAAGTAAAGTAGTTCGCCTTTTACACCATAGTAAGTCTGTCTAACAAATATTTTTCACTAACGGACAAGTACAGATCACAAAATATGTGGACGGCTTTTTGTCCATCCATTTCTGTCACTGAAGCGTTGTGTTACTTATAATGCCCGCCTTATAATGATGGTGTGTTTGACAAGTACTTCAATGATTTACTTAGCATCCACTTTTCATATCTGTTTACTATAGTAACTAATATAGTACACTATCAACGTTCTGAGTTATATGAACAAACCTTTATTCTAATTGTACAGGGGAGACTGAAATACAAAGAGGCTGTCATAGAGGGATTTGAAAATATGCCCAAGGCGTTTAAGGGGATTTTCAGTGGCGACAAGTTCGGCAAAGTGGTTGTTAAAGTATAACTTGAGCTAGACCAGGTAAGAGTTTTGCATCTAGTGGTGTGGGAGATCAACATGCGTCTATTGAAAGATATGGTTGGTGACTGACGCTAAACATGGCACATTTAATTGCTGTCCAAAACAATGTAAATTAGCGATATGTCGTTCACATTCATTTCTACATCGCCATCAAATGTTACGATTCATGTTGTAACTGCACACTCAGCACAAAGCTTGCTTATTATAATTGAAATAGAAAATGAGCGAATTTATAATTAGTATATCGTTCATGTTTTCAAATGTGTGTATACGCAGATGTACAGATGCTGTTTACTCGGCAGTATTCGATGACACTGTTAATATGTTTTACAATTACAGAGCCAATATAACCAACCCATATAGCCATATTGAATAATCTATTGATGATTTTATCCCATGAATTAATTGAGAAGCCAATTGATATATTCGTCACAATACTCCCAGCGGCACAGGATTTCGCATTGAACAAGTTTCCATTTGTAAACAGTGTCATAATGATGTTACAATGTATGTTGTCATACCATATTATGTGGAATTCTTATGGTTTATGTTTATTATAATTCGTTATATAATCATATATATGTTCCATAATTATTGTACGTGCAGTAAATTGCTATTAACGTGTTTGCTTGGAAATTGCACCATTAAAACAATAAAAGTCGGAGCATACTTGTAAATATTTAATGCTACTGTCATACTCTATTTTTTTTATGAAACTTCAAGAATCAACCAATCGACCATCACATGCGTGATCACGATATAAGCCACCAACGGTGGGCACAGTCTCATCTTTTTTCTCTTTGTTTCAAATAAAAAAAAAATTGCAAAGCACTAATTACCAGCTTTCAAGGCTAAGCGCGAAGGCACTAAAGATAGATTAACAAACCTGATTAAATTGAGCTGTTTAGGCAATGTGAACCGATGATTTATAATGGATTAGATGAAAAGACTTTTGTGGTGTTTTGTAGGAATTTATTTTCATTGGTTTTTGGCAAGTTGAATGTAAAATATAGGGAAAAGGGTATATTTGCTGGATATTATTTTTACCGAATCATTCCTTCAGCGAAAATAGCGAACATCAGTTAAAGTATTAAAAAGTATACTTACATAAATTATTCTCATACGTCAGTCGTCTCTTTTTCAATGTCTTTAATATAGCATTGTTCATGTGTGTATCTGCATTATTCCTCAGGTATTCCAGTTATGCATATTAATAAGATCACATGTCCGTATCTGATATCATGTGATATGTTAGTCATATCTCTTGTCCAATACTTTCATTATAACACTTGTTGCATTCAAATGTTCTCAAGCAAAATTTACTTTAATTCATACAATATCAGAAGTGCCGTTCCAGTTACCAACCGATTTGCAGGATAACACACTCATGCGAGACCTGGCAGTTTCTCCTTATAGCGAAGAATATTCTGTATACCAGAAGATCAACACAATACAGCGTATGACATGGTGGGAGTGTGTACAAATCCTAAGCCGTCGCTGGGTTGGTGTGGCTTGTTAGCTGTATATATCTGGTAGCATTGCTTATGTGCGGTCTTCGAATCCGAACACAACGTTCAGCACCATCAATGTGGTGAAACCTCATTGACGGTGCTGAATGTTACGTTGCATGAAACGTAACATCACTGTGATGACGAATACATTGTGGGATACGGAAAAAGAGCCTGAAGTATGCGCACTGCGTACACATTATGCTAATAACCTTTAACAAGGTTATTGTCACAGTGTAAGGCTACAATAGAAGCTCCTCGGGAGAGTTTAGGGTTTTCACCCTTCAATCTTATTTATGGCAGAACAGTGAGGGACCCAATGATGATTTTAAGAGTGTTGTGCACAAAGGAGGCTACTACACCAGACGTTAAAACTACTTACCATTATGTCCTGGATTTGCGAAATCGGCTTGAAGAGACATGTAAATTGCTCAAGCTGAGTTAGCTGAGGCAAAGGTTAGATACAAAAAGTATTATGATAGGAAGGCCAGGTATAGGAAGTTCCAACCCGGCGATAAAGTGTTAGTGTTACTTCCCACTGACCACAATAAGTTGTTGATGCAATGGCAGGGGCCATATGTAATTAAGAAGAGAGTGGGTATGACGGATTACAGAATGGGTGTAAAAGGCAAGGTGAAAATGTATCATGCTAACTTGCATATTACGAAAGAGACAAACTGAATGACAAGAAAGTGGTTACAGGGGTGTTAGGTTTTGTATTGATTTTCGCAAACTCAATAGCATTACAGTGTTCGATGCAGAACCAATGCCATCACCTGAAGACCTATTTTCACGGTCGGTACTTCACCAAAATTGATCTAACCAAGGGTACTGGCAGATCCCGATGGGTGAGGGGTTTAAAGAAAAGACAGCCTTTCTCACATCTGATGGTATATTTCAGTTTCGACTTATGCCTTTCGGGCTTGTGAATGCACCAGCCTCTTTTTCCTATATGATGCGTATTTTCAAGTTGTTGGTAGGTCTTGAAGGTAAAGTTGAGAATTTAATTGATGACATTTTAATTTATTCAAAATCTTGGGAAGAGCATGTGCAGATTGTACAGGACGTTTTTTGCAGGGTTTGAGGTAATATGACAAAACATGAAATAAAGGATGCTGACAGTTATGACGTGGGTATATCTCATGAATATTATTTGAAAGTGGAACGTCGGAATCACGTATTTCGGTCTTGGTCCCACTCTGTCTATTGTGGTAATTTTGAAGACTGTAAATGCTTTCTATCATACTAAACTGGTCACCAAATTTAACAACTGTTTTGGGGTTTTACCCAAATCTACATGAGCGACGACAAGCCTCAATAGGTCTCTATTGTATACAGCGCCACCAGTGGCTGTTCCAGGCTCCATGCGTCTAACGTTTAGAACTTATATAGCAAGTAATGAGCGCGGACTTACAGTGAGTAAATGAACCGAAATTCCAATGAACCAACGCCAAAATACGAAAGCTGCGTATCTGACGTCACGTATAGGCCCGGGTATTCATGAATGGTAAGTATGTCCTATTCAGTTACGCTATTCCAGAAAAAGCATATGTCTTAGTTTCACTCAAGTCGAAATGCGATCAAACGGATTCAGTATATACATGTGGCCACTAACCACAACTCTGTAGAAGACTGCTATACACTTTATAACGAAAAACAGCGTCCTCAACACAACATTCTAAATAAATCCCTACAGTAGGTTGAGAGACTATTTACGATTAGTGTAGCCGCGCTTTTATTAATGTAAGAATGTTATCAAAACAAGCAATAGAAACAATGGCATAGGCTTCATCAACATTCTCAAGTAATACATCCATATAACTCAATCCGGCCATGTTAAATCTTCCTAATTTACACTAGATTTAGCGTTTTGTAGTAAAATATAAGGAGATACATTAAAGGAAAATAAAGTTGAAAAAAAAACAATTAAATGACACGATTTTTATGCATCAAATCCTCAAGTGATCCACCTACAGGTACCATTAAGAAATACATTATACATGCTGTTGAGTTCAATAGGGAAACACTTAGAAAGAAAAAGATATATTAAAGGTCGCTGTAGGTTTATGGTTAATATTACATCATATCTAACACAACAGAAAGCAATCTTGTTTTGTGACACGGTTCGGTGTAGCGCCTTGTTTAAATGCTTAACACGTGACCAATAAAAAACCGGAATTCGACACTTATAAAATATCTTGGGTTAAGTACGGCCTTTAAACCTGTCACAGTGAAATGTCAAAGTTCAACAATACGGTAAACCAGTGTCGTGCTCGAAAACATAACGCTTACTTTACGATATTTCCAGCTGTGCCACTGCCATATCGGCGGCCGAGATATGGATGTGCATTGTAATTCAGACTTGTCGCCCGCGGCTCGCCAGATATCGTACTCCGGCGGTCGCTTGATGTTAATAGCTGTGGCAGTTATCGTACTTACTGTGTGTGTCATTGCCATCGTGGCTGTTGTTGCGGTCGTGGTACTGGGCGAGTATGATGTCAATGAACTGCTAGAAGGTATGATCGGAGTTATTTATTAAGTAGTGGGACCTCTGATTGTTGGAGATATGCAGGAATTGAAGAAACAGAGATATTCCTTACAATTGTTCAAATGCGGCCCTGAAACCAATTATAGTAGGAACAAATAATTTTCACTCAATTGCTGACCCCCAGTTTAAATAATGTCACACCCATTAACTCATAGATATTCCCGAGAGTAACATTAAACGAAGTCTGAGTTGCTTAGTAGATAAACAACATGGCTTCTATAACTAAGCTAATTCGTGTTGGTATATATACAAACTTACACCGCATACATATTATAGGCAAGCATCTCTGATTACTTGTTTGTCATCCTTATTACATCACTGTTTTGAACATGGTTGAATTATTATAAATAGGGTCAACGATCGGCATGGTCTACCAGAATCAATGAGATACTAATGGGTGTACTAAACCGATATATAAATTAACAGTATAATATCACTGGGAATTACTATGGAAATATGCTAGCACATTTTAGGGTGAGCTACATTTTCAAATAAAACTGTTTTTTTTTTCTTCTTGGCAGTGAGTACGGTAGGACAGATGACACCACAGACTGTTCCATGGAAATGTATGTAACATTTACCATGTTCACGTTTACGTTAAGCGTGATTATAAAACAGTAAAAATAAATGTAACTGAAATATCCCGCCGTAACTCGTTAATTGGTTATTTCGTCATTCAGTGATTATCTCAAAGTATTGAATACGTATAACCATATATAAACAACAAATGATATACTATATTTTTGCATACAGCCTTACGTCTGGTTGATGGAAACGAGATTGAAGGCAGTGTCGAAGTGTGGGCATACAATGAATGGTTATCACTATGTGGGACGAAGGGCCACTTCAAACACGTGGAAGCCGTGGTTATTTGTCGACATATCGGAATCAGGTAATTGTCAAATGAATATATAAAACAAATGTTATGATATATTTAGTCCTGTACAGTGATTAATACTGTTGTTTCAGTTGCGGCTGCACGGTGGGGGGCAAAGGAGGCAATTGCCCCCTCGAAAAAAATGTTGGGGGCGCCGCCCTTCAAAATCAAGCTGAAACCCTCTGTGTCAGCAAAGTTGGTCCTTCAAAATGCAGGAAATAGCGTTTCAGATGTCCAAATGTTCAAGGTGGAGCATGCCCCTGTAAGGTCACGCCTTTGGCGCAAGGTGGGTAAACAGGTTTCGCCCCTTCATGCAAATCTTCGTGACGCCGCCTCTGTGTTTTACACGTTACTTTTGTTTTGTTATTTTATTTTATTTTATTTTATTTTATTTTATTTTATTTTATTTTATTTTATTTTATTTTATTTTATTTTATTTTATTTTATTTTATTTTATTTTATTTTAATTTATTTTATTTATACGTTAACCACTTGCCATGGGTAAATACATAAAATTATCCCATCAAAAGAGTACAATTTCTACACAAAAAACATGGTAACGAGATAATTATAAGAATACGAATATAAAGTAAAGTAAAAAGAAAAGAATAGGGGTATGTCAACGTCGCCGCATATTGAATGATTCCCATTGTTCAGTGTGCTTCGCTAATTTGCCCCCCCCCCCCATCGCTATCTCTTTTTTCAATATTATAAACTTGCCTGATGAGATATAGACATCCATGGAAAGAAGGTTTTTTTGTTTCTCATTTTTATACGATACAAATATTATATTTGTTTCCAAGGGGCGGTGCATCTCCTCGGTATAACAGTCATTTCGGACCTGGAAAAAGTAATGCATCTGTTGTTATGAGAAGTCTGCTTTGCAATGGGGACGAGACTGCAATCGAACAGTGTGAATATTCCATATCTAAAGACGTGTCGTGTCGGCAAACCAGCACTATTGGTGTTGTATGCGGCATACGTAACAACTCCCTGCGTAAGTAATCCAGTCTCTAAATAGTATAACAAGGTTCAACGTTTCCTGCCAACTACGGTTGTGTAGTTTTTGGGGTGGACAGAAGAAGAGAGGGCTGACAAAGTAGAAGATGGGTGGAAGTTGTTACAGAAGAACTAGCCTGTCCATGTCACCCATATGACAAATTAACATGTAACAAGTCAGTATTACTAACACTGGCATGTATGTCGAGTGTGTGCATGTGTTCGATGTTTTGTAATATGCATGACGACGGTTTTGCATACAACCGTTTGCGCATGTGACACTAGGGTCACCCCTACATTTAAATAATCATGGAGGTTCCATGCTTGAAGTACGGAGTGTGTAAATTAATGCGAGGGGAATATTACTCTTGAACATAATGTGGTAGTCTACATCGGACCTTCGGCATCCGAACAACAAAACTTATATGATGTACGAATTATTCAATCGAGACACATTTAGCATCGTTCTAGTTGCTGGCAAAAAACGTGTCGAGCTTATACGTTCACATGAGATGACACTTTGTACGCGCTCTCCAAAAAACTGTCTTCCATACACACCAATCGCAGCCAGAACAAGCCGCAGCCTAGAAAGTATTTAGAAATATGTAAAAAAAAAAGAATATGTTTGTGGAAGCAAGGCGTGTCCTAATATAAAATGATGTAATTTAGCGCACTGAATATATGTTGTGTACAATGGTACTGCCAATCATCGATCACTTGGGTCTACGTGTGGAGTCTCGGTATGTCTGCCACTCAGTACTACTAGTATAAAAAACGCAGTTTGGCGTCCACTCGCAGGGGACGTGAAGCTTTTGGTCATGTTTGCTGCTCCTTTCTTCAGTGCACGTCGACAATTGCAGCATTCTCGTCACAATGAGTAGTAGTTTCCGCGGGAGAAGTAGGCTTACCCTTATTTGAAGTCTATAAAGTTACTATATCATGAAGTGGCTGTCATGTACAGAACGAGCTGATTTTTATAAGCTCAATTTATTATACAAAATTACAAGCTCTTAACCACCTTTATATCTTTCTAAGATAACTCACACAGACCTAGTTATATTTACCATATAAGCGAACAAATTTATAATGTGTGTAATTCGCCCACAAGAAGTAACTTCGACGAACGTTAGGCGCTCTGCGGCCTGCTAACATGAGTCCTTGTCACTGTTAAATATAGTATTAACTGCTTAATAGTTTCGCTCATATGAGATGTGTTCGGGCAACAGTTTATGATTTGGCCTGACATGTAGGAGTGAGTGGCGCCCTCGCCGGCCGAACGGCATCAGACCCACTACCGACGTGTATTGGGTTTGGAGCACAACAGAGGGCGCAACTCACGCGACCTAACCATGCTATGTATGAAGTAATTGATTATAGTTTTGTATATATTTCACTGTGTCTAATCAAATCATTTAACATAGTTATGAAATTTGCTTCGGTTGTACTAAAGCTACCCTGTTTTGATGAATACGCCTTACAAACTATCACTCCCTGACAAAATTGCCTGTACAGGCATGTGACTTCGAGTTCTATAAAATATGATGTTTTGTGTATAAGATATAGTGATGTCAATTCCCGTGTAAAGACCCCCCACACACACACACACAGCGTATACCTATCGCGTTGTTATACACGCCGTCATCCAATGAACGCAAGCAATTCGACCGTCACGTGACAAATTTTCATGGAAATTCTATTAGATTAAATTCACAGACAGGGCTTTCCTAAAGAAAAATGTTTTCCAGTGTACATACGTGTACATAGCGTGTCTTGTTTCCAATCTTTGACAAATTTTTGCTGTTTAAATTATATCTCATTATCGCTCTACTTTCACCACGATAGGTGTTCGACTCCATGGGGGTGTCCTGCCGAGAGAGGGCCATGTACAGGTGACTTTGAATGGTGCGTCTTGGGATACATTGCTCGTACAAGGGTGGTATGAATCGTACAATGTGTTTCGTTACTTTTCAACTGCTGCCATTGCTTGTAAACAACTGGGTTACAGGTAAGTGTACTCAATACTCCGACGAGAAAAATCCAACTCAATCTGTGTCCCTTCCTTGATTTACATAATCTTTTTTGCGCCTTGTCCCCACTTCAATCGTTTGTACGTATATTTCAGTGGCGTTGTTCAACATATCCTAGAACCAAATGTGCCAAAAAGTCAACGTCTTCGTGTATTGTCGTGCTATGGAAGTGAATCGTCTTTGGCTGAATGTCTTGATGAAGGATATACTGATTTGTTAATGCGTTTTCCAATGGTAGTAAAATGTGACAACCGTATACAGAAATTTGGTAATTAGATGTTTATACATTGTAGTTGGACGGCTTGTCTCGTATTGCATTGATTTCAATTATATATTCCGAACCGATCCACCTGAAATATGTGTCTAATATGGTCGCATTGAATATTTATTTATACTTCATATTCTGATTGTTAAAAGAGCTCAGTTTGCCCAGTGGCATTGTTGCACGGGAAGGAGTGGTAGAAATACACGTGAATGAAGTTGGTGGCGCCCTCTGTTTCCACAAACACGTCATGAAAAATCCAACCTCTGTCCCAGACGTACTTTGTAGACAACTTGGTTTTAGGTAAGTAAGTGTATTTCACTTGGGACTTCAACACTACGTTGCGTAAATCATTCGTCACGACCACATATAGTGATGGGCAATATCAAATCTCTCTTGTTAAATATGAATATGTCTATTATCTTCAAACCTCTATAATATCACTGACTGGTACTGTTTGTATTCTTTGATAGTGGCAATTCATCGAAATCGTCCCTTTTATATTTCAACCAAAATGTACAGTCGAACGACTTGTTAGTGATGATGATTCTCGTTGAAAGCTGGTCCTGTATCGGTTCTGAATCTTCGATTATGGAATGCAGAACGTCAGGTTATTTACAAGGCACTCAGGGCGAGTGGAACTATCCATGTACACTGCCAACACTAATGTGTAGATGATTTCCGGTAGACGTGAACACTCGGTACGCATGCACCGTATTTCCTTTGTGTAATATTTTAGTTTGTTGACAACATTCCTTTGAACTCTGATCTGAATAATAATGAATAAGTATCATTCCATTATTGCAAAATTTGCATATCACTTTCCATTCAGTGAATGTTATGACCATTCCATGTGTCACAATATTTGTCCCGTCTGGGTTACTTTAGGTGTGACGTTACACTTCCTTGTCTCCGCTTGTGCTTCTTTCTTTAGATACATGTATTGCTCAATTATTTATTTTTTTATTTATATTCCTCAAGTTCACTTTTACAGTCTTTAAATATTTTGTATACCGAGTATTCGTCTATTTCGCGGCGTTTATGTTTAATTTACCTATCGGATGTAGTTGCTTGTTATTTCAGTGTACTGTGTACTCTCGATGTATCATTGTATATATAATCAGAATAAATCAATGTTTTACAGTCATCATATCGCGGGATCTCTTTGAAACATTCAATATCTTGTATACTGGTATCGAACATCACTTTATTTGGTTTGATTTGCATTGCAAACATTAGGTCACTTCTAACCCGAACGTTCATGGATTGACCATTAGACATATAAGGGAAGATGTTAGAAAAACTGCGCACCTGGAACACAGTCAGTTGATTTGTTGTTTTTTTTAAAAATGGCCATTATAATCGTGGTCATTAGTGTAAAACCCACTATATAAGTTATGATTAGCTAGGGAGTCTTATAAGTACAGTCATATAGAGCTTGTCGGAGTGTTACAATACTAAATGACGTAATCCATACAAACCACTCTAAGCGCGTTTACAACAATTAACTATAGTGTTGTGGTTCATAGAATCTTGTAAACCGTCACGTGGCCATTCAAGGATGTAATCTCAATTAATTAAATACAAATTTAGTATATTAGTCTTATTTTTGACTCGCTGTTAACATAACTCTGTACTATGGTATTGGTGATATATGAATTGGATGCCATAGAATGGTACTTGATGGCCAACCAACCTAATCAAATATGTATTTTGCATTGTACGAGTGCAAAATTAGTTATTAGGATATTAGTACCAGCTGTTTTATACGCATGCGCATTGACCGATCCTGTCAAATCTCGTCATCTGTGTTGGGGCGTGTCTGGTCGATGTGAAATTGCTTCAGCCATTGGTTAACGGAATTAACTGATGTCTGTGTGAAAACCGCTGTAAAGTGGCGGTAAAATAAATTTGCGCGGTTTTTGCACTGCCATTTTCTGAGTGATTTGGAGCAGCAATGGAAGCCGACCATTTAATTGATAAAAATCTTGTCCAGAATATGATTTTAAATGGCCGAAATTATAGAGAAATCGGTCTCGTATTGGAAAGCATGTTTCCGGGAAAGAGAGGTGGCGAGGTGGCGTGGCGTGGCGTGGTGAGTTGATTTCCTCCCCGGCAACGCCGAGTTGAGCGTCGGTACCGAGAGAGAGGCGGTGAATACGGTGTCGAGCGGCCAACATAATAAATCAAACTTAGAACTCGCGATACTAGTGCAGACGACTATGGTCGAACCAACCATGAAAAATAAATGGCGGGACTTTGGTGTTGCACATTTAACACAGAAATAAAAGACATGCCCACAGTTGGACAACCAATCATTTCATTTTTGGTCACGATGCCACGGTCATCTCCACGTCCTTTGTAAACCACATATATGATGTGTCGCAGGTTAATTTGACATCGGTTTGGTTTCGTAATGACATCGTAGTAGCATCGTAACAAAACAAACTGCAAACGATTTGGAATCAGACGTTATACATGGATGCTGTGGTAGTCCCTGGATTATGCCACATTTGAGACAAGTGTTTTACTTTTTGGCAAGAATGAAAAATGTGATCAGTTCTCGTTTACTTCTGAATGTTCGAAAAATGCTATTTTTGGTATATATCGTCACCACGTGACAGTGGTTGCCTTACATCGACGCAGACGATCAGCTGAGCAGTGACAGTGTGTGCTGGTTGTATATGCTACACAAAAACACACTTTTCACATCAAAACTCAGCCCTGAAATGTATAATGATTGTCACCATACTTATACTTATGACTGTTTCCAATCACGAAAATAATTAAAGCAGGGGAGTCGTCACCTGTGCATACGGCAGGTGATCATAGCGTGTTATTGTTTACAAACGTCTACCCATAAGCCTTTGCGTCTTAATCGTGCATTGTTATTGCCGCGTAAGACTCAAATCCCGCGCGTGCGCAGGTGACGAACCCTCCGCTTAAACAACATTCACCACCAAAATGTGAAATAATCACTATTAATTAAAATGACATTACATTTGATTATAGGTAAATAGTTTCTTAAATCGTTGGAAAAACACTAAGCATTTTCTATTACATTCATGAGAGCTGTGAGAACACATGAACAAATTTCAAAACCATAAAATACTTTTTGTTGATAAAAAACGGTGGCCAATAAAACATAATATTTGTTGTCTGTGGTTTACATATGTGTAACTCTAGATATAAATAAACTAGAATTTTTCAAATAAGTTCCCAGAAAGGTTACGAACTTGAATAACCATTTATACCCCCCCCCCCCAAAAAAAAAACGTTCTTGTCAGGAACGTCGAGGAAACGTCAAGAGTTTACTTAACGGCATAAGCCACAGAAAGCGCCCGCACGGCGCGAATATGAAATCGCGTTCTCTGTGGGATATAGGGCATAGCAACTCGCAGCACAACATAAAGGTGTGTTTTCGATCCGGTAGGGCCCAAATGTGATCAAATTATTGGATGTTTGACAAGATCTTTAAAGAAACACGCCCTGCTCGAGTACCGATTTCTGCATACATCTTCGCAAATTTACTTCATTCTACATAGATCGTTGCCGTTACATCCAATATGGAGTATCTTATTACGTTAAATATGGAGTAATTTATTCAAACACCAATCTCTGTCTTCATTCGGTTTTATTTTATGTACGAAGTTATGAGGTCTGACATGTGTATGGGATATTGCACCGATGTGAGCTTCAACCCATTCACCGATATGCGTGTTTGTTTTAAAGTCGGTGTATTAATATAATACAATGACAAATTTATCGATATATACAGTAGAATCTTATTTTAGAATGTGAGATTTAATTGTATGGTTTAATTTTAAGTTACCATCCACTGCAGTGTAGACTGTATAGGGAAATCGCTTCGTCAAGTAAACGAGCACCTTCGCCAGCCAAGGAACGTTTGTTTCGGGAGTCGGCAATGAATCAGAACAAAAATACCGTGCGATTCGGGCTATGGTAAACGAGGTTCCTTTGCTGTTAGTTACATTGCTGTGACTCAAGGTTATTTCCGCGTTTGAACTTTAACATACCGTGCCATCACGTTCATAGATACCAGTACATATAGTGATGATGGCTGTTATTATTAGATATTGTAATTGTAATTATTGTTGTTAAATGTTTAATTATGCTCAGTTATGATGATGTGAATGATTATCAATAATCTTACAGACTTTACCAATAATTTAACTTTATACTAATAAATTACATAAAAACACCAATATATACTGAAATTCGTTGTCACTACCATAAATCTATAATACTGTTACTGGTGGTATCATAAGGATTATTTTATTTAGCAGTTAGCGGTCTAAATATGCTTTATACCACCGACAATTTAGCGCACACCTGTTCTACTCTAACTATTTGTGTGTAGTTAACAGTCAATATGTATACACATACAATCTGCATATGAATGAGTGTGTAGTTTACAACCTTCATAAGAATAAAGTATTATATGGTTCACAATTTCCACAGAGTACAAGTGCGTGGTTCAAAATTTCCATATGAATGCAAGTGTGTAGTTTACAATCTCCATATAAATATAATTGTGTAGTTTACAATCTCCATATAAATACAAGTGTGTAGTTTACAATCTCCATGTAAATACAAGTGTGTAGTTTACAATCTTTGTGTAAATACAAGTGTGTAGTTTACAATGTCTATGGAGTAAAAGTGTGTGGTTTACAATCTCCATATAAATACAAGTGTGTAGTTTACAATCTCCATATAAATACAAGTGTGTAGTTTACAATCTCCATGTAAATACAAGTGTGTAGTTTACAATGTCTATGGAGTAAAAGTGTGTGGTTTACAATCTCCATATAAATACAAGTGTGTAGTTTACAATCTCCATATAAATACAAGTGTGTAGTTTATAATCTTCGTATGAATACAAGTGCGTAGTTTACAATGTCTATGGAGTACAAGTGTGTGGTTTACAACCCCACGTGATTACAGGTGTATGGTATAAAATCTCCATATACTTAAAAATGAAAAAAATACAAGGGTGGCGACGGTTTTCTTCGTTTTTGAGAACGTCTTCACTGACAGTAATTAAAGGGCGGCAGTCGTCGTGCCGCGTCCTGTTCGATATGGGACTAATAGCGACGTATACAACGCGTGTAAAATACATTGTTTATTTACATGAAATTCGAACACGCGCTGCGCGACGACCACCGCGCTTTAATTGTATGCAGAGTAGGGTAGGTATTAATGCTGGCACCAAAAATCTAGTCCGGTTCTGTCACGCCTCCCTAAAATAGGTGTAAGATAATTATTTTTAAAACTATACTGTGAATGCTGAGTAACCGCACACATAAAGATGAAAGTGGCATATATTAACACGGTGATGTGACCTTTAATTTACCCTGGTATCTGGCTATTTACAATCATTTTAAAATACTTATGCAAATTACGCTACCGAAGTGTCACAGTGGGTCGTTTCACTAGGTAGGACTGTGACGTCATTAAGGCTGGCCTCCCAGTTTATGTTGAATATTTGTCATGATTAATGAAGAGCGGGTGCCTAGTTCAAAATCTACCCAAAACCCCAACAGATCGATCGCAGGTAAATTATCTATGAGGAAAGAAGCGTCACATATAATCTATATTTATGCATGGTATTACGTTTATATATATAATATCAACACCAACATGTATAGTGTATTGTGTCGCTGAGGAAGTTACTGTGTTGATTTATATTGGGTTGTAGTTGATATGGAAACACTGAATCTAGTTATTTTGTTTATTTTAAGGATATTCGTGCGAAAACGTCTGATGGCACTCACATTAATCGGTTATATGTGTTTGAAACGCTCGGCAAGATTTCAAAAAATAACCGATAACACAAAACATTGTCAGATGGCAGAAAACGACCGAATCCCAGAAAGAAATGAGTCAAATGCAGATGGGAGTAGAGGCCGTGACTCCGACAACATTAATGATGAAGGAACACAAATTGACGTTGATGATGGCGTTATCGGAGATGCAGATGAACCGTCAATGGATGGTTTTCAGGCACGTTGCCACAGTGATGTAACGGACGATAACAGCGTACAAGCCGAGAGGCCTCTGAGTGGGGCATATCTGGAATGCGACAGGAATAGCCTCATAAACAACAACGACCAGCTGCAAATAGGCAAACTAAGTTCACGTGAATCAATTGGGCATAAACCGTGTTCCGAGAAAATTGACGACATTGATACGAAACATTCTCTGCATTTCCAAGATATTGCGATTACAGAGCCGGAAATAAAGGATAACCCAGACGGTAAGCCCAATCAAGGAAAAGTTGATATCCGTTTAGTTACACTGTTTAGTATGTAATTGTTATTCGAACGTGAGTGCATAGGTATAAATATATCACTAAAAGTGGCGGGTTGGGATCATTCTAGTCGTGTCTAAAATTGGAACCGTGGCTTGTCTGTGCAGGTTAACATTTAACTATCCGTCGTTTGCGCAGTTATGCATGGGCTAATTAGTTCGCTGTTCGTCGTTAATACGTGTGTAGCCCATCTTATCTTTCAGTTCCTGAACTAATTCACTTTGATATATCCTTCATTTAGTGACTCGTGCTGTGGAGGTTCCAAGTTCCGCTAACAAGGACGTACAGAAGGATTTATTTCGCTATGTGGGAACTAACGATGTTCTGGGAATACGTAAACTGATCAAGTCAGCTGACTTACAAGTTAAAAAAGATGGTTACACCTTGTTGCACCAGGCAGCTATATTCAACGTGCCCAGCCTAGTGAGTGCTCTATTTCATTTCACTGAATTCAGCCTACTGATCGAACAACCTGTGCAATGTTATGATGCGAATATTGGCAAAACAGCCAGAGAACTCGCGAAAAATAAAGGGGACTGGAAACTGGTGAAAATAATCGAGGATTACTCACGCATGGAGAACCAGCTTAGTGATTTGCACCGTGCTGCTAGACAGGGTGATTTGGAATCCGTGCAGACCCTTTGCGAGACAGGCGTTGACGTTGATTTGCCAGTTAACGATAATATAACGTCATTATATATGGCTACTAGCGCTGGACATCTCGATGTGGTTAAAAAGCTCGTCGAATGGGGCGCCGATATCAATACACGACACAGTCGAGGGGATACCTTTCTGCACCGTGCTGCGTCGTGGGGTCATTATGATATCGCCGAATACCTACTTTCAACCGGAATGGAGTCCCTCGATATCGACGCTGTCAACGAGGATTCCGAAACTGCGTTGCACAGAGCTGTTTGTTATAACCACATTGATATTTCTCGGTTGTTGTTACAGAATGAAGCGGATCCAAATATCGCAGACAAAACCCAGAACAGTCCTCTCCATATAGCTGTATGTAATAACTACCCAAACTTAGTGGAACTTCTCCTACACAAGGGAGCAAATCCCGATGTATGGAATTTGGACGGATTGACACCTTTGCACATGGCTTGCACCAACAATCTGTGCAGTATAGTGCAATTGTTGATTGATCACTCGTCCAGTGTCGACATTCGTGACAAGGAGAACCATCGGTCGCCTTTACACATAGCTGTGTATTATGGTTATTATGAAGTGTCAGCCTATTTGTGTAAGTGCGGCGCCGATACCAACACGCGTGAGAAAAATGGCTGGCATCCACTGTCACTAGCAGTGGCAGGAAATCATGCGGAAATTGTTAAACTGCTGATAGATTCTAAGAGCGACGTGAATAAAATTGTACCATCCAATCCCATAGATAATAATGATTGTACCGTGAAACAGTTGGAGTCTGAATTAGACAGACATCGCAGTTTTAGGAAGAACGAACATAATCATAAACTAACCGTCCTTCATATTGCTGCAGAAAATGGAGCTGCGGTAATCGTTGAATATCTCATGAAGGCAAAGGCATGCGTGGATGCTAAAGATGTATCAGGAAGATCGTCGTTGCATGTGGCTGCCTTGAAAGGAAACCTAGACGTTGTTAAACTGCTACTACGTGGAGGATCATTTGTAGACCTCGTAACAAACAGAAATGCAACTGCTCTTCACCTAGCCGCCAAAGCTGGACATGCATCTGTTGTCAAATATCTTCTCAAAAAAGGTGCAAAGCCAAATGCCGTGACAATGGCGATACAGACCACTCTGCATTGGGCAGCAAGTCAAAACAACATTGATGTAGTGCTTTATATTATGAAATACGGAGCCCAGATAGATGCATTTGATTTGAACGACTGGACTCCGCTTTATTGCGCCGCTCAGTTTGGACAGGATAAGGTCATTCGTCTTCTGCTAGCTAATGGTGCCAACATTGAAGGTGTCAAGGAGAGAGAGACGCCGTTGCACGTCGCGGCAAGTAGAGGGCGGGTTGAATGCATAATTGTACTACTGGAGCACGGGGCTAACATCGAAGCCAAAGATTCTAACATGCAGACAGCGCTTCATCGAGCGGCGAATTCCGGGTTTTGCGATGCAGTTCACACACTGCTACAGCATGGTGCCGATATCAATGCTGTCGAGATGGGAGAATTAACAGCTCTTCAATTGGCCTGTATGAAAGATAATCTGGAGGTTGTTACATGCCTGCTAGAAAACGGCGCCGAAGTAAACCATAAGGACAGATTTGGAACAACGGCTCTGCACATATCCGCTTCACATGGACATGTGTCTGTAGTGAACTATCTTATTGAACACAGGGCAGACCTCCAAGCGATCGATGAAAATGGGCTAACCCCGCTGCATAATGCAGCAAGGTGTGGACATCAACAACTTACCGAAGCATTGATAGATGCAGGGGCAGAAATTAACGTCGGTGACAAAAGCAGTTTTACTCCACTTCATCATGCTGCTCAAAGGGGACACGGCGAGGTTGTGGGAGCACTTTTGATTAAAGGTTCTGCCGACGCTAACACAATGTCGGAGGAAGAACAAACCCCACTTCATCTTGCTACCATTGCCATCCACCAACACGTTATCGATTTGCTCCTCCGTTACGGGGCTGCTGTCAACATGCGTGATAGGCAGAAATCCACTGCGCTGATTTATGCTGCAAAGGGTGGTAATCTCTACGTTGTGAAGAAGCTCCTCCAAAATTCAGCAAATACCAGCGTGGCTGATTACATGAAGAAAACCCCTCTACATTATGCTGCAGAAAATGGTCACCTCGTCGTGGCTGAGGCGTTAATAGAGAGAAGTGCAGATGTCAACGCACCGGACAAAAACGGGGACACGCCTTTAGCTTTGGCACTAAGGCATGACCACATGTCGACGTCAACATTTCTGAAGGAGAAGGGTGGCGTTACGCTGAAATCAAAATTACAGTGTTCTTTATTTTGAATTGGGCAATGTTTGTCAAGTCCCCGGGATTAGGAGTATGTTCATATGCTGGTGTCTCTACCAATAAGGACGTGGACAACACGTGACGTTATTATTGTATGTTTTAAGTCATCACTGTTTTTGTTTCTGAGAAAATACACTCGGAATGTGATAGAGGTGTGACACCAAAATCATACCTTATTTTGCAGCAGTCAATATTGCGGAAATGGACAATCCATTTCGACAGCTGAACTTTATTGGTGTATACTCCGAGCCATACACGTCCATTCCATATTAACTGTAATTTATTCGAGGATTGGAATTGTTAATGATTTTTGGTGTGAAACGAGTGAGATGTAAAATATTGTTCAGCATTTTTGAGTAAAAAAGTGAACACCAAAACAAAGGTGTTCCTCACAACATCTTCGTTGTACCACACACTCAATATTTAAATATTATAACACAGTGTCATATTAGCATGATGTGAACTATAATATATTTTCTCATAATTGATGGTCAATACTTGCAACCAGTGAGATAATATTATCTCCATAAGGGACAAATGAATTGATATCACACCAGTGACGAATTAAACTCGGGTATTGATACTGCTTTTAAAATTACAGTATGTTTCTTATAGACGGACTGTCACGATGTTGGTTTAGTTAAAAACATTATAACTTCCATATGACATAATATTGTGTATGAAATCGATTGTTGGTATAGGTATATAAAGTGTCTTTAAATTATTTTAATGTGGCTTAATAACTAGTAACATATATTCGAAATGATAACAAGGGTGTGGTCGTCACACAGCGCATGCGCGAGATATGGGTCCTATATTGAAAAAGGTTGACTGTTGTGCAGATCAACGTGTACAAAAAGATACATTACCAAAGTTTGATAAGGTAATTCCTGGTGTGACTAGAACGCGTCGAAAGACTCTCACGAGTTAAAGTCGTGACTTATTGCACGTCGTGCCTAGATCAAACTCGCATTCACACTTGCAACTCGGAGAGCTGTTTATTTTTGCATTTTGTTCGTGTTTACATTCAGATACTGAAATCTTAAGAATGCGTAAATCTATGACCAGGTATTGTTCATATATTCCACATCTACAATCTCTGAAAAATGTGAAGAAATCTGATGAGTGGCTGCTGAGTAGTACTCATTTGATTGGTCATGTTGATGTCAGACAAGACTAATTTGCATATCAATGGATGTATAGCGGAGTGACAAATGTTTTAATGACAATAAATTATAGATAACTGGTAAACATCTCTAGACATTTTGAAATTATATTACACTGTATACTTGACTGTGTCATTTATTAATTATTTATTAAAATACATGCAAAAATGACAATTTAGTCATCCCACCAATCTGAATGTAGGTTGTTTTGACCTCTGTTTTATGTATGTTCCTATTTATAATAGAGCTCCGGTGCTCAATTTTCATAGAATATACCTATAGATTATATAAAGTATAAATATGTGCCAAAATCCTTATATCTTCTGTGACAAAACAAACTTGTTACATTGACATGAACTTCTAATTCCGTTTTGAAAAAAAACTTATGTCAACCGTATCCCCTTCCGGAAATTTCATAACAATTCGACCACAACATTTTGAGTTATAATAAATTCCCCCAAAATGTTTCCCATGGCAATATGATTAACATCTCCATCGAATCTAATCAATTGTGTTGTCAGAGACAACCTCTCCTAAAAAATGACATGTCAGTTCATGCCTAACTGTTTAAGTTATCAAATGCAGCAAAACCGTTCCCTTTGGTGGAGGTAATTATTTCCTTTGCACCAGATGACAATGTTTCTGTTGATGTGATTGGTCGGAAGTTTTTCAGTCGATATTTAGATTTTCCAAATGTAGTTGAATGATTTTAGAAAACTCGCCTCCTTGTTTAGTAAAACTGACCTGATCGTAGACGTTGGACGTAGAAATAAATTAGTCCCCTGAAATGTGAAAACCATGCGTACACTCGCTTACATCGAAGAATTTTCTGAACATTTGCTTATTGTTTTTTTGTCTCTTTCTTGTCACAGTCACAGTTCTAATAAACTTCCTTAAAATGATAATGGATTTTGAAATCAAATAAAATTTAAATACATAAATTCGTACATTATTTTTCGTACATTACTGTCATAGTAATGTCCGACTCACTACAATTATATATTCATTGTCGATGATGAATGTTATCAGTGCCGATTATTTCATCCGCATTTATGATGCGGTGTTGTCTAGCGCCACCAACGTAGATGATTTCAGAAAAAAATCGCCAGACAGCGACGAGCCAATCAGATGCAGAATAGCAGAATCCCGTGCCTTTGGGTTTTCTAAGCTGTTTTAGGTCACACGCAAATTATTGCTCGTTTTTTATCACCTAGAATCCCGGGACTGTATGAAATAATCAAGGTTAACAACATGTTGGTGACCATAAGACGTATTTTCGCGGTGACTATAAGTAAGCAGGTAAGTAGAGCGTCACCGGCATCACAAAAGATCAGCTGTGCGAAGGACCATGTTCACAACACGTGGGCTCCGTAATCGTGTTTCTAATATTTGAGCCATTATGTAAAGTTGAATATTTTTCAATATCTCTACGCGTGGCCAATTTTTTTATATAGCATTTTTTATGTAGCATTGCGGTAATTTCGCGCGTTACTCCTAAATCTGAATGACCCACGAATGACGATGTGTGAGTGAGATTTTGGTAACTGGTTCAAAGTCTGCTCAGAATGACTGACAAAAGTAATGTGCCTGTTTTGTTTGGCGGACCCAGTTGTCTGACTACCATATTGACTGATTGCTCAGTTGTAAGACCACATACTTGTCCGACCATTCGTCACATAACCAGCAACTACATTTGATTACAATCCAATGTAGGTATATAGGCTCCAATTATTTTTTATTTTTATATTTTTTTTAATTTTATTTGCCGCCTTAAGCCACCTGGATACGATATAAACAAAATTAATAAAAGCGAGTAAAACCAAAAAAATATTCATAAATAAACAAAAATAATAACTAAAAATCTAAAATAAAAAATAAAAAAATTGGAGCCTATATCTACATTTGGATTTTAATCAGATTGTACAGCAACTGTGAAATCAAAATAAATTGCTATAGATAATACCAGCCCAAAGTTATTAATAACTTCAGTTCTATGTTCTGCAAATTTTATAAAGAAAAGTTTTATTAAAGTGCCTGTGCAATGCCCACCTTCACGTTTCCCATTTTAGATCTGTATCCCACTGAAATGGGCAGTTATTGATTTTTTTGCTAAAAATGATTACTCGTATCCAAGTAAATTTGGGATATTTCTCGTGTTGTAGCCACGCCCACCGATCCTGAAACGGTCGACTGTATCCGGATTTCTGACTCTTGCCGAAAGTGCGCCACCAAATGCCAAAATGTGAGAGGAAGTCATACCCCTGAGCCGTAATAACACTGGTCATTTAGTATACTTTTAAACGATATACATTTTTCAGTCGTCGTTTTTTTTCTTTCTTTTTTTGTCTATTTTCTTTTTTTGAGAGAGAGAGTTTTTAGATGTTGTGTTGTGGGCAGTTGCAGTGAAATGTATAGTCATAGTGTAAGTATTCACATGTTTCTAATCGATCCGAAGGTGCGACATCAGTGGACGAAAGCCACTTAACCTCAGATTCATTTTTTTGGAAAAACTGTCCTCGTCCATGAAAAAAAAAAAAACTAGGTGTAAAGAGAAACGCCGACAACATAAACCTGGCGCAACACTTTTGAAAGAAATAGATTCCGGACCATGATCACCAAGGCGGATTTCAGAAGAGAGAGAGACGTCCGGCAAGTGTAAGGTAGCAATAATTTTGACAGTGACACGAAAACGAAGCGTCGGACAAACAAGAAATTACACAGCCCTTACACAATGCTAATTGTTTTCATTTTCGAAGGCTAAAAGTTTCTGAATTGTTTGGTGGTTTGTGTTGAATGTCGAATTCACACCTCTGTTCTTTTTTTACCTCCATGATTGCAGCTTGATCTGCGTAATAATTTCTCAAATAAGAATCCGGGCTTGGTCAATGTGTTTCCACCAAATAAAGTTTTAATATGATGTTATAATTATGACAATCACGCCATGGATCACGCTAACTCGAATCCACTCTGAATTTATCTGTATGTGTGTCGATCTCGATTATTTTTGTTATCCAATTAAACGCCGCTTTTAACGCACTTGCCCTCGTCGTGACCCGACGCGTTCACCTATTTCAACAAAATTTCAATTTATTTCCACGCGGCTGTCATTTATTTAGTAACTGTGATTTGTCGTTTTTTAAATTATTTTATAGTGATCACTATGGTCTAATGTTTAGAATGTCAAAATATGTTCTCTTTTATTTTAATTTTGAAAGTTTTAC